TGGAAATGCTCTTCTTGGGCTGGCCCTTTGCCTGCGCTCAGGGACCCACATACAGCTTGGGGATCTCCCACTCTGGCCTGCCTCTGGACCCCGGGCCATCTCTTCTCAGCCCCCCTCTTAGCTTTTTCTCGAGGCCCAGGGCTGGGGGAGCAGGAGAGCCCCAGTCCTTGTCCTGTGGGTCAATTTTCTACCCGGACTGTCTAGTCAGCAGAACCAAAGCAAGTCTCCTGTGGAGCACAAGGGGGAGGGGGTGAGAAGGGAGGGGCGGCGCAAGCAATTTTCCATCTCAGCAAGAACTGGGGAAGCCAACTTGGCAGTGGGCGCAACTTGAAAGAGAAGAATTACAGTTTGGCCTTCTTCCACTGTGGAAAACAAAGACCCACTCGTTCCCACCAGAGGCTCTTTCCACACCGGAGCTCAGCCTGCCCAGGAAAGGTGGGGCAGACTGTCCCCTCCCTGCCACTCGCTCTGCCAGAAACACCTTGTCAGGCCCAGACCAGGGACCCTTCACCACTGTGCTTCCCCAGGGAGCTAGAGAGGAGCTGGCCTTGGGCTGCACACACCAGCCGCAGAGCTCTGCCCGGAGCCCCGCCTAAGCAGCCACCCCGGCTCCTCTGCGGGTAGTCAGCCCGCCCAGGAGGGTGTCCAGAAACCAGCCTGGAGGTTGCGGAGAGAACATGTGCTCTTAATTGTCCTTCCATGCCATCTGAACCGCTCATGAGAGTCGTCGTCTTGCGAGTGCCTACAAAGGCCAGTTCGTGGACATGGCCTCTGGCCTCGCCCCTGTGCCAAGAAGCCTCATCCGTGTTGTGGGAGCCCATGGTGGTTCAGAAGTTGGGTTCTGGCCTTGCACAGAGATGACGGGTGCGATCACCCGTCAGTGCCCCTCGGGCAGAGCCACCGCCACTTTGTCAGGGGAGCTGCACGTGTTGCCACAATGCTGACTGGCTAAGGTGGACTAGGAAGGAAAGACCTGGCAGTGCACTTGGGAAGTCAGTCAACGAAAAGCCCCTGGAGCTTGGGCCAGGCTGGACTCTGGTCCCCCTGGGTACAGGGTCTCCGTGCGTCAGAGGCCGCCTGGACGGCAGCAAACCACGTTGCATGTTACCAGGCAGAGGCAGCACCCTGGGGACTGACGTGGGGCCTCAGGCCTGTGGAGCCTCTGGTTTCCCCAGATGACCCTGCGCCGCCCTGAAGCTTCCCACCGCCCCTGTTGGCAGGGTGCAAGCTGTACCCTGAGACCCCCCCAGTCCCTCTGGGGCCACAGGGATGAGCAGCGCTTTGTTGGGTCTCCAAGTTCTCCACGTGTCTCCCTCAGCCCCCGCAGCCAGGCCTTGGGTGAACCTCACCCTCTGCTTCCTCGTTGGGGGGGAGGGGCGGGGGTGACTGACTCCGGGACAGCCTGTTCCCATCCCACGGGCCACTGCGGCCCCTGGCTCTTGGAAAGGCTATTAACTAGCTCAGGACCATTCAGTAAGAAGCCTACGCACTCCACCCGGATTTATAGAAGGGGACGTTGTGTTGGCAAGCGACCAGAATGACTCCTCTCACATTTGGAGAAAGGAATGACAAGGCAGGAAGCATTTGCTACCCAGGATTTTTCTTGGCTGACAGGCGTCGTCCTTAGTTTCCTAAAAACTCGGGACACCCTTGAGGATGCAGAACTTAGTGGTCTCACCCACAAAGGGCATGGAAAATGGGGAGTGGGATGGGGCTGGGAAGACTACCAGCTTCCTCTGGATTGGGGCCCGGCACACTGAACACCTCCAGTTCAGGGACATGCCCACAGCAACAGACTGTCCCCGCCCATGATCGGCAGGGCTCCTCTCTGTTGGGAAACCATCCAGTCTCAGGAGGGCAAGCCTAGCATCCTCCCACTGAAAGCCCCCCACTGGTGCTCTGAAGAGAGGCCACCTACTGAGTGAATGAAGGAGGGAGTGAGATCACTGCTTCCGGGGAAACCAGGGTATAAATAAACCCTTTTCCCACTCGGCTGCATCTACTTGTTTTGTTCTAGATGACATGAAGAGCTTCTGCTTCTAGAAGCAATCAGTGTTTATGGTCTAAACTCCGGGAAAGGAGAAAACGCAGGTTCTGGCTTCTACCCTCGGAGAAATGCTGTTGCTTCTAGATGTTTTCCCCTTCCAGCAAGCGGTTTACTGATTCGTAAGCAGAATCTAAACCACCGCCAACAGAGGAAGGATAGTCTTTACTCTAAGAAATATTTATTTCATCTCACTGTGAGGACTTTTTAAACATGGGTGAGTCCAGCTCACTGCCATCGAGTGGATGCGGACTCCCAGCGACTACAGGACAGAGCAGACTGCCCCGTGAGTTTCCAAGACTAACTCACGTGGGAGGAGAAAGCCCCATCTCTGCCCCTTGGGGCGACTGGTGGTTTCAAACAGCTGACTTTTCGGGTTGTAGCCCAGTGTGTAACCATTATGCCACCCGGTTCACACACAATTGGGGCCACGTGCACCTTGTTTGCTTCTGTATCCTTCCCTTTCCCTCTCCCCTCCACCTCCTCCTCCACCATCAAGTCTATTTCTTTTGATATAAAAACCTTCTTTCTTGGTTTGTTTTGTAATAAGTGGTCTGCTACAGTGCTTGCCTCTATGTGATTGACTCACTGCACTCAACACAGTGTCTTCCACATTCATCCCTGTCGTGAGATGCTTCACGTTCCGTCCTGATTCCTTAGGGATGTGTGGCATTCTATTGTGTGTGCGTACCACGTTCATTTACCCAGTCTTCCGCCAGCCGGCATTTAGACCGCTTCTATCGTCTTGTTATTGTGAGCAGTGCTGCGTTAAACATAGATAGATGTGTGTTTATCTATTTGTGTTTTGCTCCTTACTGTTTCCGGGTATGTACCGAGTAGAGAGATGGCTGGGTCACAAGGTATTTCTACTCTCCTTTGTCTGAGGACACGCCGCCCTGCTCTCCCCAGTGCTTATGCAGTTCCACCTCATTTCTCGATAGAGTACCTTTTTGCAGAAGAGCAGATTGTTCCATTAGCCATCCAGTCTTTGGGGATGCAAATCTCCCTTACCACTCTGCGTTGCAGATCTTTAGTGGTTATTTCTTGGGATCCCTTTCAGTTCCGTCATGCTATGAAAACTCTTAATGACCTGTCCTGCCATCCCAGGCCCCCCACAGCAAAGCTTGATCTGTGGAAATGACCGTCGAATCTGGTATAGTAGGTTACACATTGGGGTGCTAGCCACAAGGTCAGTAGTTCGAACCAGCCAGCCTCTCTGCAGGAGAACAATGAGGCTTTTTGTTCTTGTTAAGACAGACAGCTTTGGAAGGCGGCATAGGCAGTTCTGCTCTGCCCTGTGGACTTGATAAGAGTCGGGGTACAGTTGATGCCAGTGAGTCTGAGTTTGGGGACCATCTCAGGCCCCACCCTCCAAAGTGTGGTCTGTGGAGGCAGCAGCCTAATCTCTTGAGTTTAACTACTAACCCCGTAGCCCCTCCTCTCCCAGCCAGGCTCTTGGCCCAAATTCCTCTCCTGGAACTCCATGCCCTGTGCCTGAGCCAGCTGTGGTCTTCCTCCCTCGTTGGCCTACTCTGGAGACCTGGTTGCGATATAAATTGCTGGAGAGACTTACCTCTTTTCCCTCTGTGATGCCTTGTTGCTGTCCCTGGCCCACTCCTTTGCCCACCTGACAGATCCAGGACAGTGAGCCCAGAGGCCGAATCTCCCAGGCGTGGGCTTTGTTGCCATCTCCCTTTTCTCGCTAGACTCTCAGGGACCTCCCGATCGATCAGTGTTGAACCTTGCCCATGCAGTTCAACGTCCTGGATGTTTGCAGAGATCCTCATACATCTCTCGTGTGTGTCCTTCGCTCTGACCCACTTCCTCTGCCCGTGGGCTGCACTAGACACTTGTATATTGTCCTGGTGCTCAGCAAGTAGTTGGCTCTCATTTAATATTTTATGATCTAGGGAGGCTTGAGATGCTTCTAACCGTTAGTTGGAATGTCATTGGCAGGATCTGTTTGTTATCTGAGCAGGTGGAAGCCACGTTCACGCATTTATCTGCTGTTAGTGTCGCATGGGAAGGGGCCAATCCATTCCTGCTTGTACAGATCCCCGGGAAAGCTAGTAAGAAAGAGAAAAGCCAGTTGCCATCCAGTGGGCTCCGACTCATGGCGACCCCGTGAGGCCAGAGCAGAGCTGGCTCCATGGGGTTTTCCGTGGCTGCTTTCGGAAAGCAGACCACCAAGCCTCTCTTACTGCGGTGTCTGCGGATGGACCCGACCCTGGAGTCAGCAGCCACACATGATAACCGCGTGCACCACCCAGAGACTCAAGTAGGAGAGGAGACGACGTGTTCATCCTGTGATGCGTCCGTCTGGGAGCCAGGACCACTTCATCCATTTAGTTGTAGCAGAATTTGTCAACAGGGATGCAAGGTGGGGGGTTGGGCAGGGAGGATATTCCAGGTAGAAGGAAAGGTATAGAACAGTGGTTCTGAACCTTGCTAATGCCGCAACCCTTTCAAACGGTTCTTCATGTGGCGGTGACCCCCAACCATAAAATTATTTTCGTTGCTACTTCATCACTGTCATTTTGCTACTGTTAGGAATTGGACAACCCCTGTGAAAGGGTCGTTGGACACCCAAAGGCGTCGCGACCCACAGGCTGAGAGCCGCTGGTGTAGACTAATGGTGGAACATGGAGTTTGAGGGAGGCATTGGACAGGAACCAGAGGAGGATTGTGATCTTTGATATCAGCAGATCGAACCACCTCTCCTTGTCAGTGATGAGCCCCTTTCTTCCCAACAGCGGTGCCAATCTTCCCGATTCCACCAAATCTTAGTACCCTGAGTCCCATTTGCACTCTTGTCCTAGACCACAGAGCTCTCAAGGGTTTTGGAGGAACACACTGGGGTTTTCCTGGCCCCACAGCAGTCCAGCATGCAGGGATTTACCCCAGAAGTGTTTGTCCCGCTCCGGTGTGACACTGCGTCTGCTCTCCTCCTCTGCAGGCAAAATTCTCTTCCGGCGAAGCCACATCCGGGACGTGGCTGTCAAGCGCCTGATCCCGATTGATGAGTACTGCAAGGTGAGTCTGAGAGGCGTTAACCCCGTCTTCCCTGTGGGCGGCTTCTTTGTGGTTCGTTTCTCCTTTTCCGCTGGAACATGCTCTGGGGACAAGTTTGTGCAGCAGAAAGAGTGCCAAGAAATGGGAAGAGAAAAGTCACCCCCGGCCCTTCAACCCAGAGGCAATATCTATTATAAGGTGTTCGCACATTCCTTGTGGACTTTTCTCTGCGCAGATCTCTTTATGGGGGAGGGGGGCTCCTGTGTGCATGGTTTCAGAGGTTCTTTCTCTTTCACATTAATGCTGCGGCAAAAGAACGCCCCCGTGCTCTTCAACAATCTTGAGCCTACTTTTCACGGCTGCGTAGTATTCTCTTGTGTGTAAATGCCCCACACGTTACGCAGCCAACCCTTATTGCTGGGCTGGCGACTGACGTCTTGTGCCTTGACTGCCCTAAGCAACAGGGGAGCTATCCTGTGGTTATGTTTCATTTGATAGAGGCTGTGGTCAGAAAAGAAGTGTACAGAGGGCTTCAAAGAGTTCATGGAAAGATTCTGTTACCTTTTCATTCTATTTTTCCACAAACTTTTTGAAGCCTCCTCATACTTGAACATTTTCCACACCCATTACCCTTCGTAATTTTTCCTCCGCCTTAACAGTCATGAGCAGTTCTGATTCGAGAGAGGTGGGAATGGCCAGGGATGTCTTTAAAAACGGGCCGGCGGATGGTTTCTCCCTGAGATCAGGAGCAAAGCCAACATGGGGAGGATAAGTGACACTAGGTTGGCTCTTGGGGTTCCGATTCAGACAGGTAAGAGTTGATGACAGATGAAGTGTGCTGAGAAATGTCTCTGTGATCGCCAGATGACTGCAGACAAGTTCTCTCGGTCATAAACTTGGGGATAAAAACGATTTTGAGGCCAGGGCTAACATCAATGTGATTTTTCACAAAACCTAAGCGGACACTTTTCCTAAATCGTTGAGGCCTGGCAGCAAGTTCATGGGATGCTGCTCCACGCGCAACGACAATCGTTAGGCGAGTCAGACACTTGCACGAAGTTTGAGGAGCCCGGAGGGATGAATTCGAGGCAGAGGGGCCCACGCGGAAGGTTACGGCAGCGGTTTCAGTGGTTCCCGAGGGTGTCCTTGATAGGTTTTCTTGAAGGACACAGGATGAACATGGGGGCTTGTTAGGGGAAAGGTAAGAAAATCGGAAGTGTTGCCAGGGAATGCGCCCCAGGAGTGTGTTTCTCTGGTCACTGCTCATTCTCGGAGAGGGGCTGGGCTGCCCTTTGAGCATCTCCGTGTGGAGCCTCCCCCAGCCGCTCGACAGCCTGCCCCTTCAGACTTCTCTGTATTCCCCAAACTCAAAGAACATATCAGAGGAGCACAGCTTTGAGTCCCCGGAGGATGCCCACGCTGTCATTTTGATGTGCCATCAATCAGAGGGGACAGAATTCTTCAGGGACAGGTTAGCAAGATGGGAAATGCCGCCTGCAGAGGTGCGTCGACCTAGACGGAGAGGAAGTGTCGCTGACAGTAGCTTCACATGTTGATGCTTTGTTCAGTGAAGTTTGGTAGGGTTTTGTAGCAAGGCTTTGTTACGTGCTTTTGTTTCTGTCCACTCTTGCCCCTTCTGTCCTGTACTGTCCTGGCCCTGGAACAGGAATCAGGAGAATCCAGGTGGAAAAGGAAGACGTAAAGCCACCTTGACTCACAGATGATGTGGTTCCAGACGTAGGGAAATCCTCAAGGACCCACAAAAGCGCTACGAGAACAAGCGTGGCAAGAGCATAGGTTACAGGATCAATATGCACAAGTCCGTTGGAGTTCTGTACCGTAGGCACGAGTAGTCTGAACATGAAATTAAAATCAGTTCATTCACAGTAGCAGCAAAAGAAATGAAATACCCCGGAATGCATTTACCAAAAGATACACAAGATTTTGACACGTAAACAAAAAATTGCTGAGAGAAATTAAGGAGGATCTGAGTTAATGAAGAGACATTGTAGACTTACAGATTATGGCAATTATCCAAATTCTGGGGGCTTGCTTTTGTGGAAATGGACAAGCTGACTCCTACAATGCCGATGGAAATGCAGAAGGCCCAGAGTAAACGGCAAATGTGGAAGAAGAGAAAGTTGGAGACCTTGTTTTACCCATTTTCTAACTCATTGCAAAGCTGCAGTCATCCATGGGGTGTGTTTCTGGCATAAGGATAGACAGAGACGTCAGAGGAACAGAACTGAGAGTCCATAAAGAAATGTCGCACAGTCATGGTCAACTGGTATTCAGTGAAGGGACCAGGATAATTCACTGGGAAGTGGATAGTGTTTTTGAGAGCAAACAGTGGCTATCAAGTGCACAAAAATTACTAGGTACTCTTTTCTCACATCATGCGCTCAAAAATCATCTCAGAATGGGTCATAGTACTAAATGTAAGAGCTAAAACTCCCAGAAAAAAACACAGTAGTGAAAGATCTTCGTGACCATGGGTTAAGCAAAGAGTTCTTACATAGCACCCCAAAAACATGCCCCATGAAAGAAATACTATTAAGTTGGACTTTATTAAACTTAAGAAAATAAACAGGAAGAAAATATTTGCAATTACTAAATCCAATAAAGGAGTCATTTCCAAACTATAAAGAGCACATGTAACTCAATAATAAAGACAAATATTGCAATTTAATAGTGGGCAGAGGACATGATTACAAATTTCACACAAGAATACATAAAATGGCTAATAAGCACGCGAAAAGATGTCCGGCATTGTCTGTCCTAAGGGGAATACAGAAGTAAATCATGATGAGGGATACACACACTAGAATGACTGTCATCAGCAAGACAGACAGTACCAAGAGTTGACAAGGAAGTAGAGCTGTTGGAATCCTCATACAGGTACATAAGATGAGAAGCCACTTTGGGAAACAGTAGAACAATTTCCTCAAAAGTTAATTTACCCCCACCAGGGGGACGAACAACAGAAACCATGGGGGAAGGGAGACAGCAGTTGGTGTAAGATCTGAAAACAATAATTTACATTTTATCAAGGGGCCATGAGGGGGAGACACCTGAGAGGAGCGGATACCAAGGTTCAATAGAATGTAAATGTCTAGAGAGAAATGATGGAAACATGTAAAAATATACTTGATAAAGTTGATGGATGGATTGTTGTAAGAGCCCCCGATAAAATGGTCTTTTAATTTTAAAATAAGTTAATTTACCTTATGACCATATGTTAAAAAGAATTGCAAACTTCTGTATGTTAATACTCATAGCAGCATGAATTCATAATAGGCAAAAAGTGGAAGCAGTCCAAATGCCCCTTTACTAGGGAATGCGTCAAGAAAATGTGGCCTATCCATAGGATGGAATATTATTGGCAATAACAAGCAACAAAATACTGATAGGATCATGCTAAGGGAAAGAGGCCAGATGCGAAAAACTGCATACGTTTTATATGATTCTATTTATGCGAAATGCCCAGAGAAGGCAACTCCCTGAAACAGAAAACGGATGCGTAGTTTCCTGGGCCTTGGAGGATAGAAAGAGATTGACTGCAAATTGGGTTGGGGGACATTTCTGAGGTAAAGTGGAAAAATTAAAAAACTAGATTGCAGTGATGGTTGCATAATACTATTTACTAAAATTATTGAACTGTTCACTTAGAAGGATTGGAATTTATGATATGTGAATTATACTCCAATAAAGCTGCGCAGATTTTAAACAAAGAGGGTAGCATGGGACCTTCCTCTCTCAGCAAAAGATTGAACAGAAGGCCCGAAAATGACACTTTGGGTTTGGCTTCTGCTCTTTGCCAGACACGGGGCTGAGCCCTTGATAAACATGACCTCACGTTGTTCCCTAACAATTGTCAGAAGTAGGCTGTCCCTGATGGTGGCCCAGCTACTTACTCACCCAGGCCTTTAGGCCTTAGTACTCACACACCACTTCTGGCCTCCCCCAAACAGAAAAATCTTAAACGGCACTGGTGGTCAAGCACACAGTTCATGTAAGTAGATGTACTCAAACTCTCTTCTCTCCTGTCTCCTGAAAGGGGAGCGGCCCAACAATCCGATTCGCAGGTGTAAAGCCAACGCTCTTAAAAGCAGAGGCTCCCACAGGAGGCTTGGTACACCCGTGTTCGGTCCAGCATTATTCACAATAGCCAAATGGTGGGCACACCCAAATGCCCCCCATCAGCTAAATGGATAATGTGGTCTACGCATAGGTACAAAGAAAGAGTGTTTCTTAGCCGTCAAGAGAAGTGCAGTTCTGACCTATGCTGCAACATGCCTGGACCTTGAAACAGGATGCAGAGTGAAACAAACCAGACACAAGAGGACAACTTGTGTGGTTTCACTTCTGGGAATGTCTAGAATGGACCAGTGTATAGAGAGCAGTGTGGCTCAGTGGTCGCAGGGAGTGGGTGGGGGGAAGGAGACATGGGAGCTCAGAGTTTCCGTTTCTACGAGTGGTGGGGGAATCATTAGAAGGAAGACAGTGATGGTTGTAAACGTGAACAAAACCAGTGACCAGTACAACGTTACAGCAACAGGTGTTGAACCAGCAAATGTTGTGTCATGCAAATGTTTACAACAGCAGATTTATTATTACTGCTTTTTAAAGTAGGGAGAGGAGCGATATGGAGGAAGGGGCAAGGAGAATTTAGACACAAAGATTCGACTGTGGCCTCCCAGTTCTCAGGGAAAAAGCGGCTTCTCTTGGACGCTCTCTAGACCAGTGGTTCTCAACCTGTGGGTCGCAACCCCGTTGGGGATCGAACGACCCTTTCACAGGGGTTGCCCAATTCATAACATAGCAAAACAACAGTAATGAAGTAGCAACGAAAATAATTTTATGGTTGGGGGGGTGGTCACCACAACTGAGGAACTGTATGAAAGAGTCGTGGCCTTAGCAAGTTTGAGAACACTGCTCTAGACCTCTAGAATCTGAAACTCCAGTTCCAGAGAAGGCCTGCCTTTGTCTTGCTGACAAGACTTTAGGCCCTCGGGCCCACC